CTCAAACAAATTAACTACATGCTTGGTGTTTTCCCAATGACAACTCTCGCGTGTCAAACATTATTTACATGAAATATCTCTCCATAATTTGACGTTTCTCACGCAGGCCAACACGATATTCGTTGTTTCTTATGGGTTCATAAAAAATCTCCTCATCACGATGGGGAGCTACTGGAACTGCAAGCCTACCAATTAAAAATTTTTCTTTTTAAATATGTTGTTAATTTCTTTTTAGTTATTTTTTTAAATTCATTTAGATATTACCCTTTGTGTCGTAGAAAATTATAAAAAACACCGGCAGCTTTGATAATATTGGCTACGAATCGAGGTTGATGGTGCAGAACTCGTTCTTTGTTGACACACCTGCAGATCTGCTTCCAAACTCCTATTGTTTGCTCAACAACACACCGTGTCGCCCGAAGGCTCTGCGAAAATTCAAACTCCGGAGTTCCTCGGTTGGCACTCTGTACAGCAGTGAGTAGGACGCTTGAAGGCGTGTACCCATCATCACCTTTTAATGGAACAGAATTATGTATTATAACTAGTTGTTAACAATATTTTAAATATTTGTCTCAAGATTATATTGGATGCAAGAGTTTTATGATCAAAAACAAGCATGTATTTTTCATTTTACACACCTTTAAAAAAATACTTCCCCTCATGTTCTACTATGTCTCTATTACTTCTGAGGTTGTCCATATGAGCGCGCATAGTAAAGTATTTAAAAACAAAAGCATCGTGTGTAGATCCACTGGTGACTCTAAGATTCATTATGTTGTAATTTGTATCACACACCTAAAACAGCAACCCATATAAAATATCATAGCGTCGAGCAGAATAACTAAATGTCAAACGAATAATGATTAAGTCTTACATTTTGAACATTCAAAGAATGATTACGTCGGTGATCTATATATGCTTCTTCGTTTCTGTGAGGTCTCATAATTATTATCAAAGTACAATCAAGTGCACCAATGACACCAGGAAATCCTAGCCTTTCCTGAAAACTATACGAAAAATTTTTAAAACAAAAAAGATTATTAACTAAACGTGAATAATTTTTCAAAAAACCTGTCTTGAATTAAAACTCGTTCAGCGTGATTTCGAGGAAAAATGATGTATTGATCAGCTAGGGCATTTATTGCTGGTACTACATTATGCAAATATTTGCTGAAAGTAGCTTGAGACATGGGATGCAAATTCTCTTCTGATACTGCCTGCTGATAAGAACCCGCAGCTATGAACCGAACAACACTAAGAACTTGTTGAAAAATGGGAACACTTCTATCTGTTTCTTGGAGAAGGGGTTCCAGTAGTGTTATAAGAGTAATGGCGACACGTGGAGGCATTCTATATAACTTCTGAAATAAGTTG